ATATATATATATATATATATATATATATGTGTGTGTGTGTGTATAGATATGTGTATATATATATATATATGTGTGTGTATATGTATGCTTATATATATGTGTGTATATATATATGTGTATATATATATATTTGTATATATGTATGTGGTATATATGTGTATATATATATATGTGTGTATATATATATGTATGTATATAAATATGTGTGTATATATATATGTGTGAAATCATCCATCATTAAACAGGGGTGGAGGCCTCCGGGTTCAACTGTCCCCCTTTTACAATGCTGTTATTGCTAGTATCACTCAACCTCCTGTGATTAGTAAACAGCCATCAGTGAGCTAATGATATATTTTTATGCTGATGGTCCTTGACCATGTGAGCAGCTGGTTTTGGTCGTCAGCAGCAAACTGGTTGATCCACTCTGAGAAGGTACTATTTAAAATACTGAGCTGAATACAGCACCTCAGACTGAGGAAGTCTTTTGGATGAAAGACGAAACCTATCTACATTCTTTTGCTTTGTTTTGTTTTTTGTTTTTTGAATGTCCAGAGGACAAGATTGAACTGTTTTGGATTTTTCTACCTGGATTATTGAGTATGCATCAGGACTGAGGAACAGTGATTCAAAAGAATGACAACTAACAATTGGTCTAGCATTAATCAATAATCCTGAGTGAAAAATAGAAGCTACTCCTCCACCTCGTCCAGTTGTTCTAGGAACATGAAATTTTAAATAATTAACAGGAGTGGATTCATTTATACTAACAAAATTCTGCTGTTGTAGCCAAGTTTCTGTCAGACAGAATAAATCAATATGATGATCAGTTCATTAACTAATAGGGATTTAGAGGAAAGAGATCTCAATAATCCACATTTATTATTTTTATTTTATTGTTCTGGTAAATTAACTGTGTTTATTTTAATAAGATATTTGTGATTTACATTTTGGACCTGCTTTTTGGTTTATTTAATTTAAGCCGTGGGCAAGCCGGCACTGTTGCAATGGGGGTTTGGATGGGTAACAGAGGAGAAGCAGTAGAGAGGTGTGGAGGACTACAACCCTAAAATGTATCCAGCTGGCAATAGAAATCAAATGCAACATTTTCTCAGCTCATGTTTTCTATCAAACTGTTTTATTTCGGTTCTCTATTTCTGCCTCTACCATAATGAATTTCATCTGAGCAGAGTGTATTAACTGCCACACTAACCAGCTGATTGAGAAGTCTGTCATCCAGCTGGCTGTCAGCGAGGCTCAGGACATGCTGCTGTGGTGGTGCACTGGCGATGGACCGTAGCTTTGTCCCCAGGGTGGCCCGTTGGGGTCCAGCAGACAACCCGATGGTGAACACTCTGATGTGGTGCTGTTTGGCCTCTGCAGCTGCTGCCACAGCACTTGGGCTATGGGGATGGTCACTTCCGTCTGTCATCAGCAGCGCCACCCTCAGGCTACTAGGAGATGTCTCTTGTCTGAACAGCTTAGTGGCATTGGTGATGGCGTAGGCAGAGAAGGTGCCGTGGCCAATAAAATCCATGGAGGCCACCTGAGTCTGGAAAGAGTTCAGGTTTTGCCAGTCTTTAAAGCTATGTTCCACCAACACTTTGCTGCTGTACTGCAAAGCAGAAAGGCGTTGGCGTAGAAGCAAGCCATCGAGGTGGAGCTGCAAGACCTTGGTGCTGAAGCGCAGAACGAAGTCCTTCTGTTGGTCAAACAGCACAAATCTGGTTTTCTCTGAGCTGTCGACCATAAACATGATTTCCACTGGGCAGATCAGAGCTGTGCAAAAATAAAAAAACATGATATCTTACATTTGAACAGCAATAGTATTGCACACATTTAAAAGAGCGTATTCGTTAGTTGCATACAAACCTTCCTAAACTTTAATCTTAGGTTTGTTTTAATGTTTGATTAATTGATTTGAGAATAAGTTCAAGTTGTGTTTATTTGTTATATTCAAGGTTAACATAAGGTTAACAGTACAATGAAATGTTTAGGATGAGAAGAACCAATTTGACTCACTAAAAAAAGAACAAACAAACAAGAAATACTAAACCATGCAATAAGAGTATAACTAAATTTGCCAACACTTAACAACCTTCTGTACAAAAATGAGCTCCTGTAACCTTAAATTACTTTTTTTAGTAAAACCATATTTATTTGTGCTGTGAAAAGGTGGCTGCTACATGCACTGCACCATCAGACTAACACCTGCAGGTTTTCCTGTTTGTAACAAGCAAGCCTCTTCACACTACTAATAAATAAATAAATGTACTGTAAAATCAAAAAGCTCAGCCAATAAGCATGAAAAGTCTGTACACCCGGTGCCTTGTTTATGAAAACAGTCCACATCCATCCATCCATCCATTATCTTTTATTCGCTTCTTCCGTTTTGGGTCAGGGGGATCACCGGTGCCCATGTCTAGCAATCACTGTGCGAGGGGCGGGGTACACCCTGGACGGGTCGCAAGTCCATCACCGGGACACATAAAGACAAACGAGACAAACAACCATTCTCTCTCTCACATAGGGACAATTTAGAGTTCCCAATCAGCCTAACATACATGTTTTTGGTCTGTGGGAGGAAACTGGAGTACCCGGAAAAACCCACGCATGCACGGAGAGAACATGCAAACTCCACCCAGAAAGGCCCCCGGACTGGGATTTGAACTAGGGACCTGCTCGCTGAGAGGCAGCAGCTCTACCAGTTGCACCACCAAGCTGCACCTTAGTGTTTTTGGTGCAAGATATTCAAGTGGGTAGGAGTTACACTGTGGAGAAGAACAGATATGGCCTTGACCACCATAGATTAATCTTCAGCCACCTCAATCATTTGAGGAATGTGTAATTTTAATCAGTATAAAAACTACGAAGCAAAGTTTCCTCGAATGATAGGGGTGGTTGGTTTAAACCTGTATGGTGGTGGTCATTTTAGATTTTGAAGTAGCAACCCAATTTTTGATAGTGACCTTTCTCATGCCTAGATGCAGCCAGCCACCATAATGGAAGTCGGTACTTCACTTATTTTCCAGTTATCATGCTCACAAAATGCATGGATGGAGGGTATACCCAATTCTCCCTCTTTACTTCACAACAAAAGACAAAAAGGACAAAGTAACTGGACTTCTGGTCCGTAGCTGAAGACGGGGAGATCTGAGCTTGCATGTTGTTGGTATCAGTATTATTAATAATTGGATCAATCCACATCCTCCTACATCACTGAGGTAAAAGTCAAATGAAATAAGACATGAGTGTTCAGACTGCAGTCATTTGGAAAAACATTGTATTGGATGTAGTACCACATATAAAAGAGACCTGGGCAGGATTTGTAAAACATTTAGACTGTGAAAAAATTACATATAGGTAACGTATGAGCAAAATAATTGGATTTGGGCCACTTTGGCCTGCAATGAGAATGTAGCCTAACTCCATACTAACTTTATTACAGTATATTGTTAGACCCAGATTAAATCATCCAATCACTGATAAAAATTAGACTCATACATTCATAAAAGGGAAGGGGTTTTAATTACAATGTACTTGAGGATATTTTTCTGTAAGGGAACAGGAGACAAGTAAGTAACTGATGATGGTTTGAATAATTAATATTAATTCCAGGAGGAGTTCTGTCTTACTTTTGTTGTTTGTCATTGTAGCGTTGGAGGAGTGTGATGGATTCCAGGAACGGTCAGCAGAGGTCGACAAAGAAGATGAGTGGAGGCGAGATGAAGGAAAGTTGGAGGGTATAAGGACAGAATTCATGGTGATGTTCATTCCACAGGTTTATGAAGGAAGGGCTGGTGTGGCTTGAGGGGAGGTTCCAAATTCAATTCAATTCAGTTTATTTATATAGCGCCAATTCACAACAAAGTTGTCTCAGGGCACTGTTCACATACATAAAAAAGCAAATTAGTCAATATCCTGATGCATGCTCAATAATCCAGATAGAAAAATCTAAACAAGTTAAGTCAAGTCCTTTGGACGGGTTCAATAAAATTAGTAAAGTTCTCTATCTAAAGAAGCCAGCAAACTCATTGACTCTTCACTTCATCAACCAGACTGTTTAAAGATGTATTTCCCCCAATTAATGTCCACATTTTGGATCTACTTAATTTGTCTTTAATGAATGGTTAGGTACCACAGTGCTTTATGGTTGCTGTAATTAAACCTTTACTTAAGAAGTCTGACATTGATTCAGAAATTCTGGCCAACAATAGACCTACATTTAACCTAACTTTCATCTCAAAAATTCTAGAGAAAATAGTTGCAGGTCAGTTGCGTGAACATCTACAAAGAAATAATCTGTTTGAAGAGTTTTAGTCAGGGTTTAGAGCTCATCATAGCACAGAAACAGCACTGGTAAAAGTAACTAATGATATTCTCATGGCTTCAGACAATAGACTTGTGTCTATACTGGTCCTGTTAGACCTCAGTGCTGCATTTGATACAGCTGATCACAATATTTTACTGGAGAGGCTTGAATATGATATTGGGATTACAGAAACAGCTCTAAAAAAAAAGAAAAAAAAAAGTCCATGCTCAATAATCCAGGTACACAATCTAATAATTTTTAGTCAGGTCATCTGGACAGTTTCTTTTTTTTTGTTCTAAAATTGTTTAAAATATACACTATCTGATAGATTCCAGTTTGTAAATGTAAATAATAAATCTTCTTCATACACCAAAGTTAGTCATGGAGTTCTTCAGGGCTCAGTGCTTGGGCCAATACTCTTTACTTTATATATGCTTCGATTAGGTAAAGTTATTAAACAGCATGGGATACATTTTCATTGTTATGCTGATGACACACAATTATATTTGTCCATTAAACCCAATAAATCCAATCAGCTACTTCGACTACAAGCACATCTTAAATAAAAACCTGGATGACCCTTAATTTTCTCCTTTTGAACACAGACAAGACTGAGGTTTTGGTTTTTGGACCTGAGCACATTAGGAATTAATTTTTCAGTCTTTCTCCCTCCTTAGATGGCATTAATCTGGCCTCCAGCTCTATAAATATTTTGCTCTGGTAATTGTGTGAATGCCTTTATAGGCATTCATACTATAGTGATTCACTTTTTCTTCCGTACGTTTTTCGGCATCTAACTACTCCCACAGTTTTTGTGCTATTTCAAAAAAAATCATACATCAAAACATTTTTATTGTTGTCGCTGTTGTCCATTGTTGTTATTATTCTTTGTTGAAACCAGGTCTCTCTTGTAAATGAGTCTTCGAGGCTCAATGGGATTTACCTGTCTAAATAAAGGTTGAATGAATTCAGCTGTTTCAGGACATGTCTGCTATGACGTTTGGTATTGGTGCAACTTTAGCTTTTTGAAATATTTATCCTTTTCTGGCATAGTTACTCTCATTGAAAATGAATGGAGCTCATTTTACATACTTCATAACTTCTGATTTGTTTATAACCTGGTACTACTACTTTCACATTTAGACCTGGTTAAGGTTCTTTCAGCTTCCTTGCACAAAAATTTTAAACAAAATTCAGCTTGTTCTGCTAATTTCAGCTGTTTTTTCCAGCTTTTTTGTGGTCCTTTCAGCTTCATTCTGCTAACAGCAACATTTTTGTGCTTGTTCAAACTTATTTATGCTAATGTATGCTTGTTCTGCTCCTTTCAGCTTATTTCTGAATGTTTCAGCTATTTCTGCTATTTCAGCTAGCATTTAGCTGTTTTCATGCTAATTTCATCTTTATCAGCTAATTCCACATTTTTTTGCAATCATTTAAACTTTTGTCAGTCTAGTTCAGCAAAAAACATGTTCCTCCGATATCCTACTAGTAATTCAAGCTTCTTTCTGCTTGTTTTAGCTACTATTTAGCTGTTTTTAGCAAATTCCAGCTTTTTGCAGATACTTTCAACTTTATTGTGCTGATTTCTGCCTGTTTCAGCCTTAGTGGGCACACTTAAGCGTCCTCCACTTCCTTTTGGAAATTTAATCTTCTTTCTGCATTGCTTTAGCTACTATTCAGCTGTTTTATAGAGAAACTAGGATAACTCTGCCATTTTTAGAGCTATTCAGATGAAACTTGGCATATTGGAAGATGATAACGATCTCTAATATACTTTGAATGTGTAATGAACATATATCTGTCAGATAAAATTCATAATTTAAACGGATTCTTTCATTTTTCTGGACTGAGTACTATCGTGCATTGAATGATTAAATGTGGATGGAAACGTGTTTTAATTTCTGACTCGCCAACAACAGTGGGTCGTTTATTAAAACGATTTAAAACAACATCACACATTTACATTAATTGGCAGATTGATTTCAACAACAGCTTAATTAATTAGCTTTACAATGAGAAACCATACGGCCATGGTATCTCTTGCAGCTTTGCAACAGACATTTCTGAAAATATCTGGATTAATTACTGGCAGATAGAAGAGTTTTAAAGATGGGAAATGAGGGAGTTTAAATGGAGAGAAAAGATGTGTGAGGGAAAATGTGTCGACGAAGAACGGCACCCTCCATCCGAACCCAGCTTAACCCACGGTACACTTCGCAGTTGAAGATCGACTTTTTACCTTTCTGAAGATATGTCAGTTCTGGCGTAAAGTTCCACTTCAAGCCACCTTTCAGCATCTCCGTAAGGATAGCAGAGAACCGTCCGGAGTAGTGACGGTACTTCGTTCAACAGCAGCTCACCTCTCGGGTGGGCTCGCATGAGCTGTGAGCCCGTCAGAGGTTCCACTCAGATGTGGAAGATTCCATAATTCCCACGAGACTCGG